GGCCTCAAGTGCTATTGTTGCCTCTCAAAAACAGCTGGAGGCAAAGGTCCACCTCCTGGAGGACACTCACTGAACTGACTCCAAGCCACTCCTATCACCTATGACTGATGCTAACCACAAGCTGACCTTCACTTTGCCTCTCCCCAGGACCTGGAGAAAGGCTATAGGGGCTCCAAGCGGTCTCAGAGAGAAGGAGGGAGACACGTGACTGGAGCAGGAGTGAGGAATAGACACAGCCCTATCTTAGGAACATAGGCTTAGTGCAATTAAAGCCATGAACAAAACCACCATGGCCTCTCTCCCCATCTAAACCACGGGAACTGACCAGGCACGGTAGCTCACGCCTCTAATCCCAGCACTTTGGGAGGTTGAGGCGGGTGGATCATTTGAGGTCAGGAGTTCAAGACCAGCCTGGCCAACATGGTGAAACCCCATCTCTATTAAAAATACAAAAATTAGCCAGGTGTGGTAGCAGGCACCTGTAATTCCAGCTATTCAAGAAGTTGAAGCACGTGAATGACTTTCATCTTGGAAATGGAGGTTGCAGTGAGCCAAGATCACACCACTGCACTCCAGCCTGGAGTGACAGAGTGAGACTGTGTCTCAAAATAAACAAACAAACCAACCACAGGAACTAAGGAAGCCTCTGAAGTCCAGAGGCTGGTGATACCATTCATTCTCTCATTCATTCATTCATTAAATACTGTGATCCTGCTATGTGCAAAGCAGTATGGGAACAAGGATAGCTTATCTGTATTAGGAGACATGTTTCTACAGCTGGAAAAATGGAAAAGATGGGACAAAGCTGTGGGTTTTATCCACATTTGCCTCCTCCACAAGGCATGTTTCTTCTCAAGCTCAGGGTAAGGAGCAGAAAGCCTGTTTCTTAAAATACTCTTCCAAGACCCAAAGCCCCATGTCATCATGCCTCTGCCGAGCTAATTTCTGACATCACATCTTCTCTAGGCAGCTGGGTGGCATGTCCTTAGCCGGCCACAAAGCGGGAGTAGGGAAGATCCTTTGACATTCAGCTCCTTCCCTTAATAGCCGTCCTCACCTGGCTCAGAATCAGCTTTCAAAGTACCTTACACAGGCCCTCATTCAATTACCCTATTAATAACAGCAATAACATTAATGGAAGCTGCCCTTTATCCAGCACCCACTATGAGTCAGGCATTTGATATCCTTAATCTTGTGTAAGCCTCCTAATAACTGCAAAGCAGTTTTTGTCAATCTCATTCCTGGATGAAGAAACCAAGACCACAGAGAGAAAATAACATGCCCAAGGTCACAGAGATTGAAAGTGACAGAGCCAGGATTAGAACTTGCATCTCTGCTATCTCCCAAGCCACCATTCCATGCCTTAGCCTCAAAACCATGCTGTCGCCATGCATATGCAATAAGGATGCTCTATGAGATCACTGGGAGAATTTTCATCCCTGTTTCCTTTAAGGTAGGAATTCATCTTGATGCCTTCAGTGTCATTCTGAACCCTGGCTCTCTGAGGTTATTACAAATGAAAAGGAAGAAGGCCTTGGTAGTTAATCAACAATAACAACAACAAGAATAATAACTAACACTGATAGAGTTAGCAAGGGCTCCGTGCCAGGCCTGAGCCAAGCTCTCTCTATCTCTCCATGTCTCATTTAATCTCCTAGGCACCCTGATGATCCCTACGTTGCAGGTAAAGAAATAGACTCGGCCAGACATGGTGGCTCATGCCTGTCATCCCAGCACTTTGGGAGGCTGAGACAGGTGGATCACCTGAGCCCAAGAGTTCCAGACTGCCCGGGCAAAACAGTGTGACCCTGTCTCTATTATAAAAAATATTTTTTAAAAAAGAAATAGACTTAATGAGGTTAGGCAATTCAGTTAAGTTAAAAACAAATGAAACTTGGGGAGACATGAAAATTATACTTCCCCAGGGCTGTATTTTGTCCTAAGCAGATCTTAACTAAAAGTTTCTGTATTCAGAACCCCATCTGCCTTCTCTTGGTTCTGACCCTACCTCTAAGGACCGAAATCTCAATTCAGAGAAAAGGGAAGAAAAGATTAATTCCTCTCTGTCACAGGAGACTGGAGGCTCTGACATAAAAGTCCCAGCCTGGGTTTGTTGTTGTGGCTCACGTAGGTGACTTGGAGGTGTCAAATGGAAGCCCAAACTGAATGTGCTGGGCTTTAAAGTAAAAGCCCGCAGCTCTGAGATGCAAGAGCTTCCAGAGGGAGGTAGTAAATATTTGATGGGAACTTCCAGCTCCTCCTGACTCAGGTGACCCTGGTGACATTTCAGAACATTGGGCTGGATAATTCATTTAATGACCGAGAAATTAGAAGGAAAAACAAAAGTACGTCACTACAATGCTCAGAGCTCAGAAAGGGCTCATGCAGGCAAATTCTGCAAGACAGGAAAGAAAGGACTCTTTTTTTTTTTTTTTTCAGGAGCTGAGTCAGATCAGCAGCAAACTGAGTAACCAGAAAGTGTATGATTCTAGCCAATGACCTGCCGTTCCACACTGCTAGGTTCAGCCAGGGCCCTGGCTACCTGGTTCACCGTTGTCCTCCTGGTGTCTAGCAAATGTCTGAACAAACAAACCACAGGAACTAAGGAAACCCCTGAAGGTTTCCTTAATAAATGCTCAAGAAGATTGATAAATGAATGAATCGGTATCACCCATTCAACAAACCAGCATTCCTGCTGCAACCCAGCCCCAATCCAAAGACCACTAGTGCCCTGACAGCCTACACCTCCTCATTAACACAAACCACTGCAGTGAACTCCCCTAACACATCGCCTCACTAACTCTCACGGCTCTGCATCCAAACCTCTACTCCAGAGAACTGTTTCCAGCTAACTCGGCTAACGAGGGCTCCCTGCAGGAACAAAGCCACACACTGCTGCCCTATGGCCCCACCACAGCAGCCCCACGCAACCCAAATCCATGTGCAGCTGCCTTCATGTCAGACCTCCACCAGCATCAGCCACTGCAGAGTAGTATTTTGAAAAGAAATGTGCAGATCTGAAGCAAAACACACAGGGCCTCCTTGGAATTCTGATCCGACGTGGCAAGCCACGAGCTTGAAACAGCTTTATTTTAGATCTTAGCACAGAAAGGCGCAGGCCCCCCTGTTTCCCTACAAACCATGCAAACGCTCTAATCAGACCTCTGCATGACACCTCTCAGAGGCTGCCACAGAACTGTCTCAAAGCTGTGCCAATGAGTTTGACTTGATTACAGACTCCGAACTAGGGGAAACCCTGGCTTTTTTGCTCGGGAGTTCAGAGGTTTCCTTCTACTGAGCTGTCTCCCCAGCAGCACAGCCCCCAGCTGTAGACCTGGATTGTGACTACGGAGCAGTTTTTAAAGGGCAGGTGCCCAGGTGCCTGGGACTCTTGAGGAAAAGGTTGCGGGAACCACTGATGACCTCTTCGTGGCCTTTCTGACCCTTACAATGGCATCCCTGAAGTGACAGTCTCCTTAAACCACTCCAAAGTTCCAGTTTGAGCCACAGCTCTGCATGTCCCTCCATGCCTACCCAGATATCTCTTCTCTTTCCTTATATTTTTGAATCTCCTAACTTTTCCCAGGCCTTCAGGGACATGATAGGCAGTGGCTAATGTCCCTCGCCCTCAAGTAATTCTGTGTTCTCTGAGGTCTCCTCTCTTGACCCCCAGACTCCAAACCGCTTGCTCTCCTGAGTCGCTCCCCGGCGGCACTGGCCAGAGGCCAGAGGAGTGGGTTTGGCGCCACCTGCTCGGAGCGCCCCTCCTCGACCCCCGCAAATCTCCAGGAGGGTCATAGAGGTCGCTCTCTTCCAGGACTGGCGGGTTCCGGCAGGTATGAGGGAGGTTATGGGGGAGGGCCTTGCCCCGAAGAGGCCGGGAGCGTGGACAGCGCACGGGGTGCTGAACCAGGCACGGGGAGGAGGAGTGCCGGCAAGGGCGCCGGCCCGGGGAGGACGAGGTGAGCCGAGGC